GCGTTCCTCGGGCCGCAAGGTACTTTCAGGGACCTAGTGTAAACCCTCAACTCATGGTTTAGGGTTTAGGGATTAGGGTTTAGGGATTAGGGTTTAGGGATTAGGGTTTAGGGTTTAGGGAGTCCCCCTTAGGTAGATAGAATATGGGGTATATGGGGATCTTATTATAATCTACGTATACATTATGATAATCTACCCCAATATACTATGGTAGTTTCCATTTTCTTTTCCATTATCCCCATATAACCCCAATAATATACCCCATATTCCATTATTACTGGAGCTCTCTCGAAGCTGCCAATGGCCCTTTTGGGGGTCTTCAAGGATTAGCTATAGCTTTGCAGGGATACCAGAGAGAGGATAAACAAGTAGATGTCAATAGTTACTGTGCATGGTGTTTTTACTGTAGCATGGATCCGAATCATTTTGGCGCAGACAGAGGGCACCAAACTTCAAGAGACCCCCCTCCCCGCTAACAGACTAAAACGTAGCAGACACGTGAATATGTTGAGGAAGCCAGGTCGAACTTGGGATGGCACTGATGCGACCTTTGATCTTGTCCTTCAATTCTCCGCCCCAGTATTCCCTGGCACGTCTTGGCTACATCGCAAGCATGACTTGCAACATGCAAGCAGCAAGCATGGTTTCTCGCAGTTGTGTGCTCCATATCTGGGGGCCCCCATCAACAAAGATCCCAGTATGGGTCATACATGTGGGGCACTGTGGGACCCTACTTGTTTCGAGATCGTGGCATTGCCAACAAAAGGCGCCTACAGGCTTTGAAGACGTCGAAAGAGTCGCTGACGCAAGCCACCAGGCCTACAGAGAGTCCGCAAGATGAAAGAGGTCATGCTGCTGAACAGTCAGGCCTGTTGGATACTGATCCAGCATGTTTCGCATGGCGTCGAGCTCGCCGTCGACGCCTCCCAACTTGGGAGCTCCCAAGACTCAGGGCATCTCTTCCTCGACCCTGGAATCTGCCAACAAGCGGCCCCAAGAAGTGATGGTGGAGTGCTCCGAGGCAGGAATGGAGAATCCCACTGCCTGTACGCGAAACAATCTGGCTCACGAGCCCACGCATCAACATCGGTGCACAGACCTTCTTGGCACTGTAATACTCTTGAGCTGCAGAGAGGGCAATCACGGTGTCCGACCCCATAAAGTTTACCAAGTGACCTCAGCCGCTTAAAACTGAGATGAAGGGGGTCGCCATAAGATCTGAGGCAGAGCGCCCATTCCGCCAAGAGCGGCAGATTCCACGGAGGAGACTCCGCGAAAGCCGAAGTCATGCAGCTTGTACGATGTACCTGTCACTTGCTGGCGCATCACTGCGCAAATAGATGTATGAAATGAGTGTGCCCTGGGAAACTCCACATGAAACGCGCCTCCTGGAGGGGCCCAGTCTTCACAGCCGGTTTCCTGGCAATCATTTTCTTGCACCTCATTTCTCCCAACCGTACTGGTAGGATCTGTGCCTCCAAGTATTGCTGGATTGACATCTTCTGGTAGCGGCTGTTCGTGCAAACGGTCATGGGGTACCAGACCTGCATCAGAAAGCCTATGTGGCAGGCAGCATTGGCAAACTATGCCAGGCCAGGCTATTGTGAGATTTTTGTCGTCGCATGAATTTCTTTACTAAGTTCCTCAGTGGCAACTGCAATGCCCCTTCGCAGATTGCAGTGCGCTACAGATTTGTGTGGTGAGGTATGGCAGATGTTTTTTGGTGCATGTTGCCCACTCCATTTTTGGGCTGCAGCCTGCAGCTTGACCCAGAGTTTTCAGGGTGTGTACACTACAGGCTTACATTTGCCACAGGTCTTGCTGCTTGCCTACACTATGTGAATCTAGTATGCCTGGCTTGAAGATAAGTCTCAACAGCTTTCCTCAACATTGTTCTATAGATCCCTTTGCTGGACCATTCCCGCCTGCACAAGGAGCGTCTCCAGAAAGTTCGTGAGCCAGAAGCAAGCAGGGTCAGTGTTCACCACTGTGATGAGCACTGTCTTGGTTGGAACTACCTCAGCAACGCAGATTGCAAAATAGAAGCCACCAGACTCGTTTCCGTACCAAGGGCACGGCAGTACCCTCTGGCAGCGCCTAGACAGCTGCACTCCCGATGGTATTCAACCCTGAAGCTATAGGTGGGTTTGATGGTCATGATAAAAGCTTGACTTCATGGAACGTGGCCAGCCCAGCAAGACTTGCAGCAAAGCACAGCGGAAGTAAATGCCTTGATCTTGACCGGCAGCTTGCCACCATGCTTCTCGAGGATATATTCCCAGCCTTCCCTGTAGAACAAGTCCTCGGCAAATGCCAGGTGTGCGTTCTACGGCTCACAAGCTCTGACTCTGAGCATCGGTCTGGGTTCTCATTCTGCCCATCACCAAAATGCTGCGCGTACATTTTCGCCGCTGCGTCGATCTTCTCTCGGGTGACCTGTCGGCAATGAGCATTGGCATCATCATGCTGCAGTTCCCGCTCCACATCGAGGCATCACAAGTTGCTCACCACTTTACCGCACAGATAGCGCTTCAAGAAGTACTGCAGGCCTCAAGGCACCGTGCATTTATTAACTTTGCAAGCTTTCGCAGGCTATCAGCGGTAAGGAAATGGCCGAAAAAGCAGACTTCCTCCCAGCCCTCTCGTTCGCACCCACGGCTTTCGAAGTAGCTGTAGACCTCACTGCGGGTAGACAAGCAAATATCTACCAAGTAACCAACTAAACCAATAAGATGCCCGCAAATTTCGCAGCAGTTCTTGAACCGTCTCCAGATACTAGTACTAGATGATCCTCTTTGGAAAGCTCAGCTCCATGCATACTGCGTGCCTGGGGGGTACTGGCGCCAGTGGCTCACCTGCAGGTGAACAGCTCCTGCAATTTTTTGTCTGAGGTGCTATGAAACTCTCGCAGAGCACCTTGTAGCTGTCGGACAGCAAAAGGATGTTGTCCATCCTTGGTTGCTTAGCCGATGGTGGCCAAGGTAAGCTGCCAAGCGCACCGCATCAGGAGGTGCTACCTGCTCCTGAGATCACGGCCACGACATGGTTCAGATAGGAGCTCTCAGGCTCGGGTCACCAAGTGCCTCCCTTTGGAGCCAAAGTTAACTGCAGCCGATGTGAGTCTAAACCTCTCTGCTTAGGTACATGTCGAGAGATCCCGCACAGCAAAAGCAAACAAAGCCATCTATCTTTCTTGCGCTCTCGAAAGGCACTGCCTGGACGGCACTTTAACCTTCAAGTCGGAAGCCTTTGGCGAGCCGACACTGTGAAGGCTTCCACCGCCTACCTGGGTTTAAGCACGTGGCCTCAAGACGGCAGATCAACTGTACAGAGTTTGACGATTGTGCCCACCCCGAGATTCAGGGCTGCAGGGCAAATTTCAGGAGTGAAACACTCTCCTGGAAGGCTATCATCAGCAACTTCGCATGCAAGCAAAAAAGATCAAAACGCTAAGTGCAGAGGCAGCAAAGCGAGAATCAGCCCTTCACGCAAAAGTTGTGTAAGGGCCTCGACATGCTCTGTTCTCATACACACAACTCGTGAGCACTGGGCAAACCAACTTCTTGACGCACAAATTCTGATTCTGAGTTGCTGGCCGCCGGTGTCACCTTCTCTAGCAACTGAAGGCATTGCTGTCAAATAAGAAACTGTACGGAACGTCGGCTGCTCTGTGGATGAAACACAGCTACAGCAGGTAGAAGCTCTAATTTGACGCCTGGTCCTGGTGAAATCGCTTGTCGTGCAGCTGTTCTGCGGGCTCCCACTGAAAACCTGCCACCAAAATATGTGCCATGCACGCGGCAGAGATAAACATCCAGGCGCACTTTGGCCCCTCACCAACGGAGCTGGGAGCATTGTACCTCCAACAGGTTTTACGCAACAGGCTCCCCGGCATCAGTGTGCTAAGAGCCGCACGAACCAGGCCCCGGCAGTTTGGCCATCTCAGCATTCGCGAGAAACTGTCAAGCTGCTTAATTCTGCCAGGCTGAGCTCTAAAGTGACTGAAGAGTGACAATCTGTTTCAATGCTTGGGTCGGGACCCAAGCTGCAGCCGTGCTCTTGCCTGTTGCAACACCACATGTCTACGAGGATGGCACACTCAGAATCGTCTATTCTAAACACGAATACACAATTCGCGCATGAAGTTGGAACCCTGAAAGCTCCAGCCTTTGATGCCATTCACCGGGCGGTCCTCTATCCGTGTGGGTCCTGGCGATAAAGCAAACTGGCGGCGGCGGCAGCAGCAGCAGCATGGCACAATGTTCAATGACTTGAATTGAAGTAAACTTCAGGAATGTCCAATGACAATCACCGTGGCCTTGACGCTTTGAGGTGCCAAAGGCCCAGCCTGTCAAGATAAGCATCTCTGCACTATCTGCCTGCGTGTTCATTATGCAGCCGGGGAGCTCGGCAGTCGAGGCTTTGTCCGACCCAAGGCACCGTCCATAGTACCGTATTGGGCTGGCCTCAGTCCAAAGCCGCTCAGCTGGCACACAAGAACCACAAGACAAACGGGGTCATCTACTCAGGCCGGAACCCCGGAACTGACAGAGTGCCCGCCTGCTTGGGGCCAGGTTGCAAGACATGCTGTCCACTCTCTCATAGATACCGGCGAACATCCCAAGCTCCAGGGAAAGCTCCTGCCTTAACCGGCGTCCTTCGCGGCAGGATACTGTAGCACGGCCTGGCGTCTTGGAAGCTTCACTCAGCAAGTTACGATTTCTTGCGGTGGCACCCGTCAATCTTTGTCTCGTGCACGTGGGCACCCGGGCCAGGCCTTGGAGCGAGGCTCGAAACTCTCGTGATCTCTCATGTCTCACTCAGAACTTCTTTTTTCAGAGATGCCTTCCACATCAACGACAGACTGAAAAGGCATGAAAAGGCCAAGTGGCACAGCTGGATCGCTTTCAAGGTCAGGCGATCCTGGCCACCGTCGTGGCGTCAGAGAGTATGCCTTGCCAGCACCAATGTAACCTCAGAGGCAATCCAAGCAGAAATAAGGCACCATCGGGCTGCCTGTGGTAGCTTGGGATTGGCGATGATAGGCTAAGAACCTGGTGAGGCTCGTGGATACGCCCCAGGCCCCGGGACCGGCGGTTGACTGTTTACCTGTGCGTCAAGCATGTCAAGCCAGTACGGGGAGCAAGCTGCGATCAAATGCTTGGGGCATGCTTGTACAGCCCGTGAGACTTTTCAAACGAAGCCAAGGAACTGAGCACGCTGTCAAGACTAGGTTTTCGAAACTACCGGCCTCTCTAGCTCCGGTGCCAAAGCCATAGCCAGGGCTTCTGCGGTGACGGGAGGAGCAAACCTCTTCACAGCATTCGGAAAAAGACAAGTCCTAGGGTGGTGGCACTGCCATTTTCGGCCTCTGGCGCGAGCACCGCCGTGCCGTATTCGCCCGGCCTCAAGTTGTGATATTCATGGTCGCCTGGACCCCTCCGCTTGTTCACAGACTTTCTGGGATGCGGGCCCGGGTACTTGTGCCGCCGCTCGGAGGCTTCGTGTCTTAAACCTCGCACAGAGCATTCCGCCGTGGACCCGCCCACATTCGCCTAGGTACTTTTGTAGAGCTGCATAGCGCGTATTGCATTGAACTTGCTGTTTGCAGCCCTTGACTAGCCTCCCGCCGACCGGTATGACCGGCCAAACAAATGACAGATTTAGGCCGCGATCTAGTCAACTGTTCTCAGGGGTCCAGGGTAAAAGCGGCTTGATACCTGTTGAACTCCAGGTGACAGCTTCTTTGGCAGCGCCCGCCTGTCCCTGGCCCCACGGAACGAATACTTCGGAGCTCGCCGAAGGGTCGACAAGTGCATGACCTCTGTACCCCAGAAAAATTGGTTGTATTGCAAAATGCACCCTACTCCCACCACAGCTTGCTAAGGCCAACACAGACTGGCCCACGGGACCATCCTGAGGACAGACAAACGCATACTCATCCACAGTTCAGTTGAGGCTGGATTCAATCATGGTTCCCAAACACGCTATACACTGTCCGACACGGCAACACACTTTTCCATTTGCATTGATTTGGATTGTCCTTTGCACAAGCCATGGTGCATGTGCCCGCCTTAACGCGATTGAATGGAGCCGTTTGAGCTCGAGCCTGGGAAATGAATTCATCCCTCTCTTGCAGCTATCTTCCCTCGAAACATTTGAAATTTGGCCAGACCCTGAGCCTGCTGGCAGTGGGCGAAGTTGGCGAGACCCTCGGCTTCTTCAAACCAACTCCCCGAATCACACCGTCTGATCGTGGGTCCAAGCCGAAGTGTCTGGTCGATCCAAGTAGCTCCGTGGACTCTTCCGGAGGTGGCTTCTGCCATTCCTCCCGGATCAAAACAGTAGGCCATAGCATGCGAAACACTTCCGAGCTGCACCGAATTCCTCGGATGGCTCAAAGTCTTGCACCCCCTGACGAGGCTGATCCGACCCATTGCGAGGCGATTTCTCCATTAGACTCTCCCAGAGCTAGTTGGCTAAAATTGAAAGTGAGGCGTGAAATTTTCTACGCTGAAGACAAAAGAAAAAGCTCCGGCACTCATTCTTGATATAGCTACCAGGTCCTACACATCCCATGGGCTTCATTACCGACACTCGCTTGAGCCGGAAAATACCAAATTGCTTCGAAACATTGCCAGGCATCTTTCCAAGCACTACATGAAATATTTTCTGTATATACATATATAAACTTGAGCGTTCATCAATTCTCCTACCTGATTCGAACTTTTGCCATCGGCCACTGCTTCAGAACTGGGCTTGCGGCAACGTTTGGCTGCCAATGAAATACTTGCTCTTCCACAGAAGCATTACGACCCTCTATTAAAGGAGAAGAATCATCTGCCAAATCTATGGACATGGCACAAGAAAAAGCTTCAGTCCAATGAGTGCTAGTTCAAAGGATGGGAAGCAGCGGCTGCGCGCAATTCGAAAAATGCAATCTTGCCGACAAGCAACGTCTGCCTGCGCTCCAAGATATTAACTGCGCTCTGGAACTCTTGAGCAAACTATTTATGCTCCGTATGAAGAACGCTGATGCTGGTAATCAAGTGCTCAAGATTCTTGGCCACGTCGTCTAGCTGTCTGCGAACTGCTTCATCTCATTTTCCAAGTCAGCAACTAGACGCAAAGTCTCACGCAGACTCCTCAAGGTCTGACAATGACGCAGCAGGCGCGCCTTCGGACTCGACGCGCACTGGCAAAAGCGTGCCAGATGAACTCAAAATCTTAGAGACATTGCTCATTTGCAAGCCTAAGCAATCAACGCAAAATGACGAAGCATGAGTCCGATGAGATGCAGACACATAAGGCCACAACACGACGTGACCAAGTCAAGATTTCTGCCCGTGTGTTTGAGCAGTTGAAGGGCGGCGCATGAGTAAGCTTTTGAAGCACGCCACACATGTATCAATGCAGAGGTGAGTAAGCACACAAACCGGCCATCGCATAGATTGCCAAGGAAAGGCTAAGCATGGCCGAACGACTGACACGCAATTGCGGCTGTTGTGGTCGCTCTGCCTGCTTCAGAATTTGAGCTGCGCGTCTACGAGCCCTGGCCAAGACGAGATTTCTCTTCTGCGCAGGCCGTTTGAGTGAGAGGCTGCCGAAATTAAATCATCAGCAGCATGGCTCAAAACATCTCAACACCATTCTTTCAAAAGAACCTGCAGTCTGCAGCCTGTGTGCAAGAACGCCCCACACCGCGTCCAAGACTACTCTCTCCACCTCGCCTTCGAGGCTTGGCAGGGTCTGGTGCCGTGCGCTCAGCAACCTGCTTCGCAAGGCGGCACCAGCTGCTGTAGAGAGCCGGATTTCTCGGCTTGGCAGCCACATCATGCCAGCAACAACTGAACGTCCTGGGAAGTGTCGGGGTGAAGGTAGCAGTTTTAAAGGGTCTTGCAGAGGGAACTGCATGGCCTCGGTCAACGTGTTTGTTGACCGCTCGGCCTGCAAAGAAACTCCTGCATCTTGCAGGAGTCGTGTCCCTAGTTCTGCACAAATGTCACCATTGAGCACATCTCCGCGCTCAGCAGAAGATCTACCCGCCAACTTACTTGGCACAAAGGCCGCGCCCCTTCTTGAACCTTCAGGACTGGAACATCAATAAATATATCAACGAATGCAGCTGCCACGGAGGCTGCGTTTACCTTTGCGTTGCAACTTGCTTTGTAAGGTCCCTGCGTGCCTGGCCCGGCCAATGCAAAAAAAATCTGTGAAACGGAAAAGTCTTTCTGCGGAAGCCTGGACGTGTTTGGGATATAACATCTTTTGTTGAGTTAAATTTTGCCGCGATTTACTTCTCCGATGTTGCCATGTTGTCTTTGCCACAAGGCGATGTGCCTCCGAAACAGGGGATCCGCTGCCAACCAGAGTCACGACCGAGTGCTCTGATCCAACCCTGTGTGCAATGTCAGGAACCAACCGAGGTTCGCACATTGGTTTCCGTGGTTGGTCTCCATCCTGCCACACAAAGTTGCCACGAACATAGTCGCGATGGTCAAAGCAGCCTGGAGCACGAACCTGCTGGATATGTCTGCATGTCTTCAGTTGAACACACGAACAACAAGTGTGTACAAGAGGAAAAGCAAGCAAGCAGCTACGCTCACATTTTCCTTGAGCCAAATAATCGGGTTATGCTTCTTGGAGCATGCGTGAAACCACAG